TCTATGGAAATGCATGACTCGTTGCTTTTCTACCCGTCCCGTCAGTTTTAGCCACCAGAAAGCCGTCTCTAACTTCACGGCCTCAACGTTTGTACTTTCACAAGGCGTAGCCGCAAATAAGGGCACCCACGCTTGACCCATTAATGTAAACTTGAGGTGGTGGACTCTGCAGACAATCGTACTTGCTCAAACGTGAAAATAGTGGCTGGCCAACCGCTTCATGCAACGTGGCATGAGCTAATGTAGTAGGTTCGAAAACAACAAATAGTTGGCGTACTACAAGACCACATTTCTCCCGGCATAGTCAATAAATTATGAAGTTTTATTTGTGCTAACATTAAATTGGATTGACTCTAGCCACCTTGAATATCCTATAATCAAACCGTAATCAAATGTGTGCAAGCAACCAGTTTTTTTTTCATCCACACTTTCAGGAACATTAAAGCAGCCCAAGGACGGCGTGAAAAGATCGGTGGAAACAGTAGGTTTCAACCGCAAGTCAACTCACGCGAATCAAGGCCATCAACTTTGATCTTTGAGGTATCGAATCCTGGGGTGACCGGCACACAGTAGGGGCTCTGGCCCACCTGCTGGCCGGCTAGGAGGACTGACACGCAGATAGCAGAGGTTGCTTCAGGGGCAACGTACTCCACGCGCCAAGTGCCATCACCGTTGTCCATCAGTCGGGGCGTAATGATTTCTCCCTTCTCTCCAGTTATCTGCACCAGAACTTCCCTCATAACTTCTGCTCTAGCCTCCTGAGTGGGGAAAGTGTCACGCAGATCCACCGTGAAGTGGGTCATTTGATTCATCTTGGCCGTCTCCAAACCGGGGCCGAAGAGCTTGACGTTCTTTAGAGCCACATCTGAATCCACGGGAACCTGTTGATAGAGAATTCGGGGACGGTAACATTAGGGGCGACAGAGAGGAGGAGAGCAAAAATCGACAGACTACCTAAAAACTAAAAAAACGGCTTCACTGAAGTACGATGTGAATGGATATTCCAGTCCCATATTTGCAGTCAAAGGTCTCATCGATCAGCCGGTTTATATGTTCCCCTGATGAATTACTTAGACTTCGCACCATCCAAGTAAAACCCCTGGAGTGACAGTGCCTGATGATCCAACATATCCAGCTTTCAAAAATGTCTCGAAATCCTATCACACTTAATTATGACTACACTTAAAAATGACTGTAAACATGGAAACCAGAAGGGACCACGAAACAGGATTAGCAAGTACGCGGATCACTGTGAAAACTATAACATGCAAACCTTATCCCGTGCTGAGACCCAGAATGCGCCTCCTGGTTTTGAGGCACATATCAAGTTTATTTTCAGCTGAAAAATCGCTTAATTTATGTCAGACGCTTCTATACACCAAAAGAGCAACCGGGTGACAATGAACGTCGACATTTGAATGCTCCTTGAACGATTTTGAGTATGCCCCACCTCTCTACCTGTATTGACCCGGAAGTTAACACAGAAAGTGGACAAACGAGTGATAATGAGTACTGCGGGTGATTAAAATTTGCAGTCACCATTCTATCCTGTGAGATGGACTACATTATTACATAGTGGAAAGTCAGAGCTGTCAAACAGATAATCTACGTTTGCTCTTAGCACACAGATAGGGCATAATCGGGCTGTGGCTGAGCCCTGCTCAAAAGCCAAACTATTGATTTTCCTCGGTTATCAACGTCATTGCGATGTTAGTGTGAATGCCACTAGTTTGTCCGAATACTATTTACTAATCGATAATTTCAGAGTGAACCGTGTAGCACCAAACGATTCGCTCTCAGCCAAAAACAGCCAACTGAGGCGGCGAAAAATCAATAAACGTGTTGAGGGGCCGAGAGTGCTAGCTGGTTGCAGATATGGAAAATGTCCGATAAGCCTTTCAAGTCCCCCACCCACTTGGGATTAGGTCAAAGAAAAAAGTCTGCATCCTGGTTATCCAACCAGATAAAAGAGGTCAATATGTACCGTCGGCTAGGTTTCCACTTGTTACTGCCTTAATAAACAAGGAAATTAAACGGCAAACGAAATCCTATCGTAGACACAATTCGAACGGCACACCAGCGGTCTCTTGTGAGTCTCAACGAGTGAGATCCGAAATGTACAAAATAATATTTTTTGCACATAAGCATCACTCATGAGAAGGAGGAAAAGAGGGAAACGTGCGCAAATCGTTGCGCAATAGCGTTGTGGCCTAATACATATTATGCAGACGTACGTTTGTTGTTCATTGTTTGTAATCAGACGTCCGAAGTTTAAACAACCACTTATAAAGTTCATATAAATTGCACATCAAGTGAACTGCTCAACGTAAAATATTGGTTACGAATAAGGTATTGCCTCAATGGGCGTCACCGAAGAGGTTTTACGCTTGCGGCTCAGAATCAGGGCCAATACACGCGAGACAATTTTCGATGCAATTATGGTACATTTTATGAGATTAGAAGTCGGAAAAACAAAAGGCATAGAATGCGAATTATGTGAAGTGTTAACCGAAAAAACGGGACGAATTTGCAAATTTAATGATTTGTTGTCAGTTCCTCGGACGATAGTAATAAGAACACAATAGATTAGCGCTGAAAATACTGACGGCGCGAGGATTTGTAATCAGTTTTATGCAAATTAACTAGTTAATAGTTCCCTCTTAATGCTAATGTCGGCAGGAGGCGACAGAACTGGCACATATACATACTGAAAGTAATCGGTACCAAGAGCGCTACAACTCACTCGAGTTCCACTTTCGCGGAGTCCAACACCAGCAATGGCCATGTCCACGGTGACTATTCCCACCTTGTTTGCGGTATACTTGCAAGTAAATCGGCCCTCTGTGGTCTGCACAACCTCTACCGGGACTGGTTCCCCGAAGGAGTCGTGACATTCCACTTTAAGAAGTCCTTGCACCGAGGTCTTCAGCTGGGCAGCAACTGCTTGTGCCTGTGGTAGAGCCTGACCGAGATCGATGACGAACTCAGTGGGCATCCCCTTGACAACGTTGCCCGGCTTGGGAGTGATGCCCTTTCCTGAGACCGTGATCTAAATATTCCAGAGACATGTGATATGAGCAAACAATGACTGTTGTCAAAATAACGACAAAACTCGATATCAGGCTCGGTTGTTGGAATTTTCAAGATAGAGACGGATGATCGAGCACTCGGGACAGAAGAAGACTGCACTAAGCTAGGTAGTAGGAGGGATAAACTCATAGCAAGTCTTTCGATATAATTGGTAATGAGACCTCCCCTTAACTTCTTGGTATAACTCAGTTAAATTAGGCCCGGTTTCTAAATTACAAATATCGAACTCGTAAAAACGCTATTATTAAGAGCCCCTTGTCACACTATAAAGTTGTAAAACATTGCAAC